ATCGAATGTTTTTAAGTTTCGTGTTTTTTTTGTTATAAAATTTCCACCTAATTATTTATGTATTCTATTTCTTTGCTGAAACTTCCTATCTTTCAATTCATTTCAAGGAAGATTTTTCTTGGAGCATTATTTTAATAGCTATTTTAAAGTCTTTTCAGATAATTCTCTGTCATCTTAGTTTTGGTATCTGTTGATTGTCTTTTTTTTTTTTTTTTTTTTTGAGACGGAGTTTTGCTCTTGTTGTCCAGGCTGGAGTGCAAAAATGCAATCTTGGCTCACCCCAGCCTTCACCTCCTGGGTTCATGTGATTCTACTGCCTTGGCCTTCCCAGTATCTGGGATTACAGGCATGCATCACCACGCCCAGCTAATTTTGTGATTTTAGTAGAGATGGGGTTTCTCCATGTTGGTCAGGCTAGTCTCAAACGCCTGATCTCAAGTGATCCGCCCACCTCGGCTTCCCTAAGTGCTGGGATTATAGGCATGAGCCACCATGCCCAGCCTGTTGATTGTCTTTCCCAGAGAATTGAGATTTATTTTTGTTCTTCATAGGCTGAGTAATATTGGATTATATCTAGGGCAATTTTAATATGCTATATGTTAGATCTGTGTGTTACTTAATCTTTTGGAGGCCAGGCACAATGGCTCATGCCTGTAATCCCAGCACTTTGGGAGGCCCAGGCAGGCAGATCATGAGGTCAGGAGTTTGAGACCAGACTGGCCATCATAGTGAAACCCTCTCTCTACCAAAAATGCAAAAAATTAGCTGGGCGTGGTGGCGGGTGCCTGTAATCCCAGCTACTATGGTAGGCTGAGGCAGGAGAATTGCTTGAACCTGGGAGGTGGAGGTTGCAGTGAGCCAAGATCGTGCCACTGCACTCCAGCCCAGGTGACAGTGTAAGACTCTGTCTCAAAAAAAAAAAAAAAAAAAGAAAGAAAGAAAAAGAAAAAGAAAAAGAAATCTTTTTGGAGAATGTTGATGTTTTTTGTTGAAGCTAGAAATCAACCTGGTTGAGTTCAGGCTGCAAGTTCTGGCAGCCTTTTGTGGGTTGTGGTTTCAATGTCAGGTCCATTTTCAAAGTCTTTCAGTGCTATTCAAATCTGTCACATGTGTGTGCTGCTTAGTGGCCAGCCAGTGTTCTGGGCAGTTCTCAGAGTTTTCAGTCTTTTCAGAGTGGATCTATGTATGTATAACTCAGAGGTAAGCCCAGTCGTTCATAACTACTTTGTGGGATCATTTTCCAAAGCTGCTCCTCCCTCTCCACAGTCTCCCCAGTACTTTTCAGCTCCCTGGGCCTCCCTTTTTCAGTTCTCCAGCCATAGAGCTGTGGTTTTAGTTACATCTCTTTGCCCACACTTCCCATTATTGTACCTCCATCCAGAGTAAAGCAGTGGGAGGACAAAGGAAAACAAACACAGCTGCTCTGATCAGATAGGAGGCTTTCCTTTTTTAAGTTTTAGGCACCTGTGGGCCCCTATTACCACTGTTGTGGCTACCACCAATCTGCTGAAGATTGCCTGGGGGCTACAGCAGGAGACAGGGAAAAGAAAGAAAGAAAGGAACAACAACAGCAAAAACAAACAAATAGGAATTGCCTCACTCTGAGCTTTAAGAGACTCCTTTGCTGTTAGGACAAAAGGGATTCTCCTAGGGCTCTCTCTCTTTCTGTGCCCTGATGCCCATTTCTAGATTTTAGGCTGCCTGAATCCAGGCTGGGGGATCCTGGAGGAAGAAGGGGTAATTCGCCACCTTTTTGGTAATATTTCAAATTATGGTCTTCTTCCCCAATTGCTTGCTACTATCTACAGTGTCTTCAAATAGCTGCTCATGCAGTCTGTCCAGGTTGTATAGTTACATTCAGTGGGAGAGACATGGTGAAGCTGGCTTAATCGATTGTGTTTGGGTTCTCCAGAGAAACTGAACTAACAGAGGGTACATGTGCATATGTGTGTGTATACATCTCTATATGCGTATACATGCGTGTATATGCATGTATACATACAGAAAGATATAGATCATTTACATGATCATAAAGGCTGAGGAGTCCCAAGATCTGCTGTCAGTAAGCTGGAGACCAGGAGAGTTGACATGTAGCTCCAGTCTGAGAACCGGCAGGCTCAAGATGCAAGAAAAACTGATGTTTCGGTTTGAGTCTGAAGGCCAAAAAGGACCTATGTCCTAGCTCAAATAAGTTGGGCAGGAGGAATTCTCTCTTCCTCAACAATGGGTCAACCTTTTTATTCTATTCAGGTCTTCAACTGATTGGATGAGGACCACTCGATTAGGGAGGGCATTCCACTTTACTTACTCTGTGACTCAAATGTTAATCACATCCAAAAACACTCTCACAGACACACCCAGAATAATATTTGACCAAATATCTGGCACCCTGTGGCCCAATCAAGTTGACACAAAAAATTAACTATCACATCCATCTTATCCAGAAATAGAATCCTATATAGCATTTTAAAATTTGGAATACTTTTCATAAATTACAGACTACGAATATCTACATATCCTGGCACCAATTTTTTATAAAGCAGACTTAAAAACTATCCTTAACATTCTTCAACATGCTAAAACAGTTTAGAAAAGTGATTTAGGAACTCTTTTAATATCAAGCTGATAACATGTGATTTACCTTTTTATGATCAATCCAACTGGTAAGTGATGAATATTCTGAAGAAGGACAGGAGTAGTTGCAAAAAGACCAGTTGAGACTATTGTACAAGTCCAACTGAGAGATGGTAGATATGAATAGTAGTTGCAATGAGTTGAATACTACAAATAGCAACAAATCAAGAACTAAGAACCAGAGCCCAGGGCTTTTGGCTCCCAGGCCTTTGCATCCAGTAGAATATGATGGTGCCATTAAAAGGAATTCTTGATGTCCTGTTATGGAATGCTTGCTGGAATATTCTGTATGACAAAATCTAGGTACACAACAGAACCTGTAACATACTACCATTTGTACACAAAATGAAGCAAGGGAGATATATATAATTTATGCATGGTTATAAATACGTGGATATCCCTGGAAGGGCACAAAAGAAAAGAGTAATGGTGTCACTTCTGGGAAAAACTGGGACCAGGGAAGGGAAAGAGACTTGCTAGACACTGTATACAGTCTTCTGTGGCTTGAAATCGTCTACCGTTTTTCATGCATTCATTCAAAAAACTTAAACAATTAAAAATCAGTGCTTTTCCAATGCCTAAAGTTCCATGAGTTACAGAAGCTCTCAAGAAAATCTGGTCCCACCTCAACTCTTGTCAAGTCTACCAATGCCTTATGCTGCAGTCACAACGGACTCTGCAGTTTCCCTATTCTGCTCTTGACATGAATGTCCTGCCTTTTTTACTTCCATTCTTTCATACCATTGCTGATCACTGCTTCCTTGACTTGGAGTGTCTTCCCTATCTCCTCTTCACTCCAGACATACAGTGGCATACAGTGGCCTCCATTTTCATTCCAAACATGCCTTCACCTTAGAGCCTTTGCATGTACCATTCCCTCTGCCTGGAATGCTCAGCCACCTGATATGTGCCTACTCCCTCACTGCCCTCAGGCCTTTGCTTGCCTCACTTTTTCATGAAACAAAGTCCACTCATAGTCACTTTCTTTCTTTCTTCCTTTTCTTTTTTTTTTGAGACAGAGTCTGGCTCTGTTGCCCAGGCTGGAGTGCGTGGTGCGATCAGGGATGCCTGCAACCTCCGCCTCCCAGGCTCAAGCAATTCTTCTGCCTTAGCCTCCCGAGTAGCTGGGATTACAGGCGCCCACCACCACACCTAATTTTGGAATTTTTAGTAGAGACAGGGTTTCACCATTTTGGCCAGGCTGGTCTCAAACTCCCAACCTTAGGTAATCTGCCCACCTCGGCCTCCCAAAGTGCTGGGATTACAGGTGTGAGCCACCATGCTCGGCCCACCCATGGTCACTTTCTAGCCTTTTTTTCTGTTTTTCTTCACATCACTTGTCATCATATGCTATTCTGTTGTTGTTATTGTTCATTATATCTCTCTTCCTGGTGGAATATAAACTCCATGAGAGCAGAGACTTTATTTAGAAGTAAATACCCTAATTGTGTCCACGTTGCTCTAAAGGAATTAAGGAAATCATAATAAACCTGAACTTTGCATTTTAAGGATTTGCCATCTAAGACACACTAGGGCAAAATATATGTATGTTTATAAAATGAACATTAATTCATAAAAGGAAATGAACATTGAAGCCTTCTCATCACAAGGCAAATCCAGAAGATAATAATGATTTCTGAACAAATATATCCCACTGAACAATATCTTCAAAGTAGAAACCATAAATACAGTCTACTTCTTATACTAGTGATTAGTCTGTGACCCATTTTCTGAAAGTGTTCTTAAATGGCCCTGGACAGTTAAGTCATGTAGAGGCCAAATTATTATTATAAAGTTGTTTAATAGTCATGAAATGGAACCCAAGAAGGTAGATACTATTTAAATGTCATTAAAAATGGCATAAAGCTTTTAGTTTAATGTGTCTACCTTCTCTCTAGAGGACCCCTGCAACTGCAACAGGTCAGGGCAGCCTTCTCCCTGGACTATGTCGGGCTAGGCTGGGATCTGCCAACTTTGACTTCTGAGTTTCCCTTTTCTTGCCTTTGGTTCCTGAAGCCCTGCTCTCCTGGATACAGGCATCGTCTATGGATAGGCTATGGGTTATATACACTTCTGCTGATATCTTCAAACGGATGAAGATGTCACCCAGAATCGCATAACATTTATTTATCACTTTGTAGTAATTCTTTATCATGTATCTTTTTGGACAAAGGATTCCAAATAAAAGGAGTGAAGTTTTAAAAATAGTCACGTTTCACTATTAAGCGATTGATCTACAGTCTCAGAAAAGTGAACAGTCTCACTGTTGTGTGGTTACCATCCACTTCTTTTGTGATAGTCCACTAAAGAGGTTAAAGTACAATTGATTGGGTTTCCTCTAATCACATTTCAGCCCCCCATATCACCTCAATTGAGGTCGGAGTGTTTTCACAGTTTTTCAGTTTCCTGATTTACGAGCACAGATGGTTAATTACATCCACCATGGGTCTGGCAAGCAAGGTTACTAGAAGTAATCTTAAATCTCATTCAAAGCTCTTGGGAATCCCTACAGCAAGGAAAATAAGGGGGAGAGATTGATTAGATTTCTAGAAGAAAGGTGGAGTGTGAGGTGAAACTTAAGACAGCAGAATTTCACAGAAAAAAAAAGGCGGGGGGGGGGGGCTTCAGGGGCTGCAGAAACAGCTAGAGCACATTTGGAGAGCCTGATCCACGGAGCAGCCCCTGGGACGGAAGGCGCTCGTGCAATGTGAAGTAAGGCAAACCGAATACATGCTGTGAAGACTTTTAAACGCCAAACGGAGGCGTCGGAACTTTACTCCGCGGGCACCTAGGAGCCATCGAAGGTTCCCAGCAGGTGAGTGGCCTGACGATTGGCTGCAGTGATCCACGTTACAGTTTCTCCAGCGCTCTCTGCCGACCACAGCACGAGTACAGGCCGGCTTCGCAGGTGGTGACGGCCGAGCGCCCCCGCAACCGAAGCGCCCCGCCAAGCCGCGCAGCCCGGGATGCTGACCCGGCCCAGGAAGGAGCTGCCGCGCCGCCACCGGGCGAAGCACCTGGGTCGGCCCGGCCGCCGATTGGACGGCTCAGGGTGACCCCACTGTATCGCGAGACGAGATTGGCAGCGGCGGGGCCTCAAGTGCCCCCGCGCTGGCTTTGTACGCAGAGCCGCCTGCCGGTCCTTTAACAATGGGCGGCGCGAGCGTCCAGGCGCTGGGCCCGAGCTGAGGTCGGCGCTTAGCGGCCGGCTGTCCGCAGCATGAGCGGGACCGGCGTCCCTATCACGCCGGCGGGGCTGGGGCTGTGAGGGCCGCGGTTCCGGGTAAGGGAGCCAGCGTGGGGCCGGGCAGCCCGGCAGGCCTGGGCTAGGCGTGAGGCAGCGGACCCTCCCGGGGCGAGGCGCGGAGCCTGGCTGGCCCGGCCTTTTGTTCGCCCGAGGCCGCGCGGAATCGTGCGTTTCTCGGGCGTCCCGGGGAGAAGCAGGCGCCTGATGTCTGCGCGGAGACTCCCGGCCGGGCAGACGCTCACCCCCGGGCTTCTCCGTGGGAGCGCTTCCCCTCAGCGGGGCTGTGACCGTGTCACCTCTCCGCACCCCTCAGGGCGGGCGGGAGGGCTCCAGCCCCGCACGCAGGGAGCCCCAGCCCGGCCTTCCGCAGCTCGTCTCGAGCTCGCGCCCGGCTCCCCGCTGTCGCAACTCGGGGCCCGAGGGGACCCCCTTTTGTCCAACACGCAGTCGGGCAGAGTCTCCAAGTCCTTCGGCTCCTCCTGAGGGGGCAGACCCGGCCTCGCGCGTGGCGCTGGGGAACAGGCTCGGGTCGGGACTGGGCTGAGGAGGAGTCAGGTGAAGACGAGCGGCCACGCCGGATGGCCTGAGGTCACGCCCCCGGGGGCGCGGGCGCGGAGGGTCGCGGGGAGAGCCGGCAGTGACCGCGCCTGGGGTGTGTCTTACAGACTCGAGGTGCCGCGTCGGGCCGGGCGCGCCGCTGGGTCCCATGGAGCTGGAGGGGCAGTGGTGGCGAGGACAGCTGGCCGCCGACATTCACCAAGCGCTTCGCTACAAGGTAACTCCGAGGCCCGGCCTGCCTTGTCCTTCGGTGTCTCGCGCCAGTTGTTCTGAATCTCTGAATCTCGACTCCCCTAGAAAGTCTAGTCAGGTTCTTTACTCCTCACCTTCCGGGCCAGAAAAGGCGAGTTTGCTCATTTGCTCAGGCTTAATTAACTTCTTGGCTCCTTCCCTGGGATATATCAGAAGAACCTGCAACTTGAATGAGGAGGGAGGTGGTAGTCGGGCTAGGAAAGGTGAAAAGGGGCTTTCTGATATTCTGATTTCCGGGTGGATCATGAATTTGATCTTGTATTTTAAAAGATACATACAGTGAATTTTTGTTGGGCAGAACAGCCCTCTTTGTTCGAGAGTTGCCCTTGCATGCAGCCAGTTTAAGTCGCTTTTGTACATAAATTGCTGTAAGACTTTGGACGAGTTAAATTTGTTTCTTAATTTCCTCATCTGTAAAATGAGGAATAATAAGAGTGTGCTTTATGATTCTGGCGATTGTGAAATTTAAGTTAGTACTGTACATGTGCTTAGAAACTGCTCTTGCAATATAGTAAGCACTACGTGATAACGTCTTATCTCTTACCCCTCAAGATTTGGGCTGTTCCCCTAAGGTGGAGGGAGTTGGCTGCTCCTTCCTGCTGATAAAGGCAGAAAGTAGACCTAATATACTTAATAGATACTGGAGGGGGGGGACTTTTCAAACACAAAGCAAAGTCTGTGTATTGTTGCTATTAAGTAACGATTTTATTCTGCATGTGGTAAGGCAGATTATTGAGACATTTCTGACTCTGATAACCAAAAGAGAGACCAGATCCAAAATCATGTATAGCTCAACTCAGTTTCACCTTGGATAAAGAAAGCCATTTGTTAAATGTAGAAAATTGAGAAAGAAGCAAAACAGCTGACTCTTTTAATAAAAAGGATTCTGACTCTTGGGGTTGAGATCCTGGAATGATAACTTTTATCCTGAGTTTCTGACAAAGCCAAGTAGATTGGAAAACCTAATTCTGACTTAAATTGTTACCCTTTTTTAGGCCTGAGATTTCTAAATGCTACTTACTAATTATAACATTCAATTTCTTAGATTGACTAAAATACATTCAGTCCCCTAGGAGATGGTCCACATAAAAATTCTAACTAATGGGATCTTTGGAGTGTTAAGAAAGAGTTTCAGGTTCTTTACTTGGAAAATTGTCCAGATACACTTTTGATCTTTTTTTCTTTGGTAGATGTCATCTTTCAATTTGAAATGTTTTCTTTTTTAAAAAGATTGATACATAATAGTTGTACATAAATGTCAGCCTCTTTATCCCTCTGGTATGTGGCGACATTAATTAGTTGATGTTAAGAGTACCTTTTTTTTTTTTTTTTGAGTCGGAGTTTCACCTGACCTCAGGTTATCTGCCTGCCTTGGCCTCCCAAAGTGCTGGGATTAGAGACAGCAGCCACTTTCCCTGGCCAAGAGTACATTTTTTAATTGACATGAAACTTAAAAGATTTTTCTTGGTGATTTTCATAGCTTTCAATCATTTTATTTTATGTGTAGATCATTTTAATTCATGAGTGATTATCTGAATTTTGTCAGCTGAGGTTGGACATGAGTTTTGTTTTTTTAAGATTTAGATTTGTTGAAGGCTTTTGTGCATTAATTTCTGGAGCATCCAAGGCATAACACCCAACTCCACGCTCAAGTTGCTTATAGACTATCAGAGGACAAGGTAACACAGGGTCTGAAGGAATGCCATTGAAAGTTTTCTTGGGCCACCTATGGCCTACTGCCCTGGGTTGTCTTTATATTTAAGCATTATGCAAACCATGGTTCTTACTGGTAACACTTTATAAAGAATTTATATTAGTCAGTAAAACTTAAACTTGTGGAACTGGAGAGACCTAATACACTGAAGGAAATTTAAAATGGACTTTTCTCATAGAAAAGACATGGTAATTCCAGGCTATTAATTGATGATTCAGTTGGATAGTCATCTGTTTATTTCTTCAACATGTTGATTATTTATAACATACATGATATTCCAGTTGTTAGAGCAATAACTGAACAAGACAAACATGATCCTTGCCTTCGTAGTCTAATCTTATTTCTAATTTAGAGCATCCACATTTAGGTTTTTCCTTTGGGCAGTTGCCATTGAGATACTGTGGAAGGTGTTCTGTGTTTAGACCCAAGGTTTGTGGAGAAATATTTGGTGTGACTAGCATTGTGTCTTAGGAACAGTGAAAATGACAATGAATGGAAATCCTCATGCCAACTATCCACCCCCTCAAAAAAAGCCCCTACAAAGTAGCTGTCCCCTTACTCCCTTTTGTCTCCTTTCTTCTTATTTAGTTGTGTATAATTAGTGTCATAGGCTGTTTGGGAAAGTGTTTTTAGGAGCCTTAATGACAAATGGGAACAATTCTAGCTTTGTGAGAAACTTTAAGAAAGTCCATCATTGTTTTCCAGGGAGTCTTTTAAGACTATGTTCAGGCCACTTTTCTGGAAACATTAAGAAAGTTAAGGCCATCAGTGTTTTCCAGGTGTTTCCCAGGATGTCTTTAAGACCACATTCGGGCCACTTTTCTGGAAAACCTGCCTTGGTTGCCTTTTCCCCCCAATTCCCTATTCCCTGAGCTAAGTTAAATTTTCTTCCTAGTTGTTGCCGTAATAACCTGTGATTACTATATTGTGTGGTAATCTCTGTATTTGATTCACCTGCTAGAGATAGGCTTGCGACTTTTTCCAGCTTTTATCCCTGGGTTAGTATAGTATCTGCTACATGAGAGATGCTCAATAAATGTTACATCATGGCAGCAAAAGTAAAGTTGCAGCTCATTTACACCATTGTAAAGATCTGAAAAAGAGTTAAGGAGAAAAGAAAAATCCTAGGTGCTACGTGAGAAATCAGCATCTTCCCTTTATTTGGAAACAATTTTTTTTTTTTTTGGCCAGGAGTGGTGGCTCACACCTGTAATCCCAACAGTATGGGAAGCAGGTGGATCACTTGAGTCTAGGAGTTTGAGATCAGCCTGGGCAACACAGCAAGACCCTGTCTCTACAAAAACTAACTGGGCGTGGCAGTGAGTGCCTATAGTCCCAGCTACTTGGAGGTTGAGGTGGTTGGACTGCTTAAACCTGGGAGGCAGAGTGTGCAGTGAGCCAGGATGGCACCCCTGCACTCCTGCCTGAGCTATGGAAGGAGACTGTCTCAAAAAAAAAAAAAAAATATTATTTCCTCGGTAGTATTTGTTTAGGCATTTCTCACTCACACAAAAATGTAAAACATTAATTGGCCCATTGGCCTCTCATCTAAGTAACCCCTGTTGATATATATATTTTTAGTTTTAAAAAATTTTAAGTGATGTATACACATGGTTAAAAAAAATCCAGATAGTGGAGGAAGGTTTAAAATGAGCCTTCATTTTAAGGCTTATTTGGCCGTCTATGGTTACTGCTTTTTTTTTTCCTGATACCCCATAAATTAGTATATCTTCAA